GCCGTCCAAGTATGCGAAGGAATTATGCCAATGGGCTTGGCGAGAAAATCTAATAGGTGGGGGAAGTCGACCAGAGTGCCTTTGCCCTTCCTCACTCGGGTTCTCACACCTCACTCTGGTCAGTTATCAATCTCTTACTACCGGCCCCTCGACATTTTAACTCGAGTGGAAGTGACAGTAATCGGCCACAACAACCCCAAGGTCAAGAAACGTGATTACGTTGTGGGGAACTGTCGAGTTCACATATACTCAATGAAAGCTCATCTGCACACGTCGATAGTCTAACCTCCTTTAGTCGTTACCCTTCCTTATCGTCTTCAATACTAATCGACGATAATACCGTCACGATATTCTATTCATTTGCTTCTCCAATGGTCAATCATTCGAGTGTAAAATTTCAACTCCTCCAGTTTCATCTGCAGTCGCCTCAACAGCTCGAGCCCATGCCAGAGTGCATCCACTTCTCCTCTCTTCCTTTACATTGACCTCTACACACACTCGCCATACCAGTCAGGTAACTCAATCCATTGAATAATTCAATTTGAATTTCATTCATGTCAACCATTTCCATCAAGTAACTTCCATACGATCCTCGACTCCGATACGTCTATTCATACTGGCATCACCCAACACGTTATACGTTCTAGATCCACTAAAGGCCTTCACAGGTTATCACTTTCACTGAAGGATAAGAAGGGCTAGGATTAGGCAACGACTGAATCTATCAGCAAATATCTGAACTGTCAGTAAGACTGCACGAGCCGTGCATGATGAACAGCGCAGAACGCAGACACCAGCGACGACGGGCTCACCTAGCACTACTAGGAGAAGATTATACTGGTGTTAAACACATTCAGTCATATCAACTCTGATCGAAAACAAGTTGAACTCGAAGAATTAGGCTCAAATTGTAGAGCCAAAAGTTTAATGTCAAAAAATACACAACCACTCCATTCGAAAGTTCGACCTCGTTGAATCTGTTCAACCTTATCGTACCATCGATGGTATACCACTCCACGCGATTAATACTAAAAAACTCGACATCGCTTCGATGTACTCGTGAATACGAAACTGTATTGTTGAAATTGAGACAAGTAGCCTCACTGTAGTTACTCAAGCCATCGCCACCAACAATAACAACCACGGAAAACCACCCCAATACGAGGGCCTATTGCAGAACTATTCTACAACGACGACCGCCGCCGACAGAAGGTGATGATGATAGTCGCCACTTAGTGGATGGACAAAACGACCGGGTAGGGAGCAATGGTAATAATAATGGCACACCTTAGGCCTCAATAGGGAAGAGGACCTTACGCAGATTAGGCTTGTCCTTCTCCTCAAGTTGACGAAGACGAGCGTCCAGAGTGTTATCAACACGGATCTTGCCGTCGTTGCAGCTAAGCACAACACCACCAGCCTTGCCCTTGAGAGGGTTCTTCCTATCTAGGGTGAGTACAACAGCCTTGGTAGTGCCCTTAGCCTGCTTGGCGATCTCGGCAGCGTAGATCTTCTGAGCCTGGGGGATGATACTCTCAACAAGAGCCATATCCTCCTGACGGCAACGAATGGTGACCTCGGGCTCAAGAAGAGAGAAGCAACCCTGGACAATGAGGTTGGTCACAGTGGTCTTGTAGGCGGGAGTCTTGGCATAAGCAGAGAGCTCGGCAATAGCATCATCAACAGCCTTGTGGAGCATAGCATCACGCTCACCGATTTTCTGCAATCGAGAACGGTTGATAGCAGTGGAGCGAGCAATAGCTCTCTGAGTCTCAATCTTCTTAGCCTTCTGGGCATACTCCCTGGAAACAGCAGAAATAGTCAATGATGAAAATCGTCATGATTCGACTTACTTCCTGACCTTCTCCTTCATCTGCTGGACAAGCTTCAGCTTCTCGATGTTGAAGTCCTCCATAGCCTTAGCCTCGATCTCTTCAGACTTGTCCTGATACAAACATATAAAAGCTACCGTAGATAACGAAGAGCTGCTTACCTTGGCTTCATTGAGGATGAAGTTAACCATCTGTTGAATCTGCTTTTGGGCCTCAGCTGCGTCCATGGTGGAATTAAGTGGAATCAAAAAAGATATTACCGAACTCGAAAGACCAGACAGTTACTGCCTTGGATTGACTCTCACAATGAATAGTAGGTAGTACTTCGAGGAGGCAGACGGCGAGAGACGAAGCCACACAGCAGTAATCAGAGCGACACAGAGCATTTCCAGCGTCCCATATAGACAGAACCAAACACCTAGGCGAGCAGCATAGCGAGCAATACTCGGAACAATACTCAAGTGATTTGAGAAGGTGAATGAAAATATGACCGATGGGAGATACCTTCACGAGCTTTACTGCGCACTACAGCCGCAAAGCTTGCTCAGCGATGCTCAAATCGATTATGATGGCGCGCGCGCTTGAATTTGCGGCCGTTCATAACGAAGTTTCTTCGCTGCTCCCCCCCTCGATCTCGAAGGGTGGCGTGTTGCTGTCGATGTATCGTCAACGTGGTACTGTTCCACTCGATAGGGACTGCCTCTTCACTGTTCGCGTATCCTGAGCTCTCCGTGACAAGATACGAAATAGGTCCAATCGGGGTATCGAAGTACTGTAGCCACAACAGTGAGGACTGCAACAACACGAAGGGCATGGACAGCATAAGCGGATGTGATCGACAATCACCCTCAAGTGGATTGAATAGGTTTCGCTGGTCTGCCGTCAAAATTGTGTCGCTGTCCCTTCCTGGAGCAGGTCTGAGCTCACACGAGTGTAAACAGCTATTAATAGACTTCTTTCACACTCGCCGAGGGATCGCTCATGTATTGTTGTTATGTCGAGGTGTTTGCTCCTCCTAAATGTCTGGCAACATGGATCTGAGAGTTGGCGGAAAGTTCAGAATTGGACGGAAGATCGGAAGTGGCAGTTTCGGTGACATTTACGTGGGGACTAATCTACAAACTGGCGAGGAGGTACCCCATTGAGGGTTAATCTGATTTTATAATGATGTTAACTTCAGGTCGCTATCAAGCTTGAATCTATCAAGTCGAAACATCCTCAACTGCTCTACGAGTCCAAACTATACAAGATTCTGGCAGGCGGTGTTGGCATCCCTCTGGTGGGTTGATAGGAAGTTGTGTGTGTTGTGGTAGAGATTGTGGTCGACTGTGCAGGTCCATTGGTATGGCATCGAAGGTGACTATAACGTGATGGTTATTGATCTCCTTGGCCCTAGTCTGGAGGACTTATTCACCTTTTGTAACAGGAAGTTCAGCTTGAAAACGGTAAGTAGTTGGTATCAGTTGATGTGCAATAACGACGCAGGTGCTCATGCTGGCCGATCAAATGATCAACCGTGTGGAGTATGTTCACGCCAGGAACTTCATTCACCGCGACATTAAACCTGATAATTTTCTAATCGGTCTCGGCAGGAAAGCCAACCAGGTGAGAAAAAGAAGACGACGAGGGCGATCTGAATAGGTAGCTGATATCATCGCAGGTCAGCATCATCGATTTCGGCCTCGCCAAGAAGTTCCGCGATCCTAAGACTCAACAACACATCCCGTATAGGGAAAATAAGAATCTCACCGGTAGCAAAAAGATTTATGTTTGCATACCATCACCTGGGCTAATCGTCGTCAGGAACTGCTCGTTATGCTTCCGTTAATACTCATCTTGGCATTGAGCAATCTAGAAGAGATGACCTCGAGGCGCTCGGCTACGTCCTCATGTACTTCAACAGAGGCAGTCTACCGTGGCAGGTTGGTGAAGGTCCAACAAGAATCGGTTATAGCGGTGCTCTACCTCAGGGACTGCGCGCCCATACTAAAAAGGATAAATACGAGAAGATTATGGAAAAGAAGATGAGTACTCCAGTTGAGGTCCTCTGTAAGAACTTCCCTTGTGAGTTCGTCAACTACTTGAACTACTGCCGAAGCCTGAGGTTCGAGGACAGGTAAATAGCGAGCAGTTGTAGCTGTGGTAGAATGGGTAAATGATCAGGCCGGACTATGCTTACCTACGTCGGACTCTCAAGGACTTGTTCTTCCGCGAGGCATTTCAGTACGACTTTGTATTTGATTGGACAATTCTCAACTACGAAAGTAAGCTGAGATCATTTTGTTTTCTCTTTAATCTTGTTGATTTGTGTGTTATCGTTCGATATCAGGATCGCAGCAAAGCACACAAGGTTCGGCTGGGGGGGCGAATCAGGGTAAGCCGGCGCAAGCGGCTGGTCAAGCGAAGTAAGCCTGATGTTGGTGAATAACGACTCGGAGGCATGCATTGCTGTTAACTCCTCATTATTTCGCTACAGTGACGGCGCTCTTAGTATTATTATCCGTAGTTCGCCTATATATGAGGTTGGTAGTAGTTGTACTTGTAGTAATAGCCTTTGTTTGTCTCTCCCACTGTATTATGAGGACGATTATGTTTTTCCTGAGATGCAATAAGGCAATCATTGGCGGTTCTTTTCTGGTGAGCAGCAGTTTAGACGTCAGTTCTCATTGCTGTATATATCGTGATAACGGCAAGTGGATGTTGATGATGAGGAAGAGGAGACTGCGATAGATGCTATTATTTAAGTTTATTTCTAATACTATGTGTCTGTTGTCACAGTGATGGGAATCATTTACAAGAAAGCTCATCCTCGTGTGGGCAGGTAATTGAAGTCGATATTGGTTTCGAATGCCCAGAGGCGTAATGGTGATGATGGTGGTGGACAACATCATATCTCGGTAATACTCAGTGCCTTGAAGCGAACGTAATAATATTGAGCTCAGGTGATAAGGAGTCTACTACGTTTCGATGGATGCAACATTCCGCGAACTTGGTTGAACTCATTTCTCTTTGGCGTAAATTTCTGTGAATCTTCTCGAAAATTAGCAACGTCGTTTGGGTGTGCGAAACCAGTATGATTTCAAGTACGGCTTGTAGTCAGAGTCTTATTATTACTACCAGTAGAAGGGTTCTATTGTTGTTGTCGTCGGCTGAACCGCTTATCTACATCGCCCTTTCTACTACCATATCTGTCACTATCTTCGTCACTACTACTACTATCGTCATCATTTTGTTCGGGGCCCTCATACTTGACAAGAGGTTCCTTGAGGTTTGCCTAGTATCTCCCCTTAAAAGATACTGGTAACCATGTAGGAGTATTCGTAGTAGTAGAAATCAATGGCAACAGCAGCAGTGAAGTTAAAGAGGAGTGGTATCTTGTCGGTAGATGAGGTGGATAGTCGTCGTCATGGTTATCGTCAATGATTACTGCCATTATTATTACTACCACTTCTGTTGCTGCTGGCATCTGTAGAATGAGTTAAAGCAATCTGCTTTTTTGTGGTGTTGGGGTCCTTGCGAACGAATTTCGGTTGCAGTTGAAAAATATTTCTAGGATGTCGTTCATCGCGAAGAAGGAGTCTGTGTTTCTGGTAAGCTGAGGAAAATGTTCGAATAAGAAAACTCGATGTAATAATGTGGTCCGACTGCTATGATGAGGATATATAGTAAAAATTCTTCACCATAATTTTTCAAGTTAAATGACTAAAATTTCGAATTATTTTGGGTATTCGGTACCAGCCGAATCGGTCAGCGTGGAGTTTTCAAAGAGATTGCATTCCTACTTATCGAGCTCTCTGCCGCCGATCGCACCAGGGCTCAGGCGGTGACTGAGCCGGCAGCTACACCCCTATATTGGCTATCACTCGGCTGGACGAAGGAGTGCTGATTGCGTAGATTTTATGGGATTTCTATTAGTACCTGCCGCTCTTACTCGAAAATGTAATATAAATTTTGCATGATGCAGCAATAGGCTGAAGTTAGTATAGCAGGTGTGTATGTTACGCTGATAGCCTCTGTAGACAATTGAGTTCCACCCTAGTGATACGAAAAATACGATATTTCAAGACTACTACAGGCCGCGAATATCGCGTTTTTCACCGAGTTTTGCGTGTAAAGCGGGCGAACTATCTGAGGATCTATCTGAGTTTCAAGTTGTGATATGGTCATTATAGTGTTTAATGGAGTATACGACAGCTGATGGAAATCACGTGTGTTCGAGTAGATTAATTGGTTCCCCGCTTGGTTCTGCACACGTTCGGGGAGATTGATTCTCGAAGGTGTTACTGCTACAACGAAGTCGTTGGGAGGCTCTTATTCCGGTGGAATGACGGAAGGAGGTAATTTTCGGTCAACACATGTGGTTGTCCTACGACGTGATGTGTCTCTGATTTCAAAATAAGAAGAGGAGAGGGGAAGTGAGAGGAGGCGTCCGTGTGCGTATCATAGCGATTCTTGCTCGCCCATTATTCGCTTCATGAATCGGCTCGCAGCCTTCAGGCTGAAATGGATAAGATAAAAAGCCCTATCACCTTTTATGGCTATATCAAGTGTTGTTGAGTCAATCAGTGCGGGTGTTACTACTAACAGGCGTCAAGGGGAACCACACTGTAGCTAATGAGGTGCACGCATACACATGTGCATGACTGCGAAGCTATCTCCTTCATAGACTACAATACATGTGCTTAGACTCAGCAGTAGATGAATAATAGTACGTAGTAAACCCAACAGCGAAGAGAGCAGCTTAGCCAACTCTTCATATTCTTTAGAGTATGCTACGTGGGTGACACGTAAAACGGTTCATGCATGATGATACTGATCCGGATGTATAACATTTCCAGCTAGGGGGGGGGTCCTCCGATGTACTCGGCAGAAAATATGAAAATGTTCTCATCAACACTGTACCACATTTTGGCCAAAACTGTTGTGGGCGGAAAATGCTGGCAGCGCGTGCTGGGAATCGAACCCACGACCGTTACAAACCAGTCGAGCTGTGCTGTTGCATCTCGAAGGCTTAGCGAGCAAATGGGCCGAGGGTGATTTACATACTCAGCTCATCCTTCACCATGGTGGTAGCAAACTCAACTTGATTACCAGGCTTGAGTAGTTATGTGTAGATATACATTGGCTATCAACACCGTCCCTCGTAGAGAGGGTATAACCTGTTAGTGGATCTAGAACGTATAGCGTGTTGGGTGATGCCAGTACGGAAGTTACTTGATGGAAATGGTTCACATGAATGAATTTCAATAGTCTGAGTTAACTGACTGGTAAGGCGAGTGTGAGTAGAGGTCAATGTAAAGGAAGAGAGGAGAAGTGGATGCACTCTGGCATGGGCTCGAGCTGTTGAGGCGACTGCAGATGAAACTAGAGGAGTTGAAATTTTACACTCGAATGATTGACCATTGGACAAGCAAATGAATAGAATATCGTGACGGTATTATCGTCGATTAGTATTGAAGACAATAAGGAAGTGTAACGACTAAAGGAGGTTAGACTATCGACGTGTGCAGATGAGCTTTCATTGAGTATATGTGAACTCGACAGTTCCCCACAACGTAATGACGTTTCTTGACCTTGGGGTTGTTGTGGCCGATTAGTGTCACTTCCACTCGAGTTAGAATGTCGAGGGACCGGTAATAGCGATGCGAGAGATATAACTTCACGGAATCTCGTAGTGCCAAAAACCACAGCTGTAGAACCCGTGTGAGGAAGGGCAAGAGCACTCTGGTCGACTTCCCCCACCTGTTGGGTTTTCTCGCCAAGCCCATTGGCATAATTCCTTCGCATACTTGGACGGCTCGTCTGAGCTGAGCCGTCCAGCGTCTCAGTATATCACTAAGTAGCCTTGGCAAACTCCTGTAGCTCCATGGGGGCGTGATTATCACATTTCAGTTCGGTGTGGACAACTGTGGGTGTACATGGCAGAAGCGTGGGTGCATATCTTTATTGTGCGGTGCCGAATGAAACGATGGTTTCGGCGGGCGAAGATGATGATACATTGAAACGGTCTTGGCTCCTTGCGTACTCGGAAGGCATAGCCGATAAACTCCGTCGACTTCTGGCCCTTAACTACTCGTAAGTAGCCGGTGCGCCATGGATGGTTCACATTGTGAGGAATATTATGAGGCACCTCAAATTGGGTGCTTCAGTTGAAGTTTCCGAGTGGTTCAAAACACTGCCGGTACCGACAATATAAGCTACTCTTTGGTAGTCTACTTTTATTCTCCTACAGTTGACTCTAATTTTTGTCTCCTCCATGAAGGTCGCTTTCACCATTGCTGCTCTGTCCGTTGCCGTCGCCGAGTATTGTCAGGATATTTGTGATGGTTATTCTCCTTGTGCTGACTCCAAGTATGGCTCCTACTGCAAGGGCAACGGTGTCTGCTTCGGTCTCTACCACAAGGATGATGGTTACTGCTTCCAGCCCACCGAACAGGACACCTGTGATGACTACACGTTGGAGCCGGTGGCTTGTCCCGAGCCCACACCCACCTGTCAGGACGTCTGCAATGATATGTCTCAGTGCCGCGATTCCAAGTGGGGATCGTATTGCAAGACTTGGCAGAATCCGGCGGTTTGTTTCGGTATCATCAAGAAGGATGATGGTTCTCTTTGCTTTGCCCCCACTGATAGTGACTGCGAAGGTGAACCCTACTATTGTTAGCCTAGTTTAGGTGTATTCCTTAGCATGAACTATGTTGGTCGAATGTTCTTTTCTTAGTAGTCGTGCAATCAATCTAGATGAGTGTTTCAATATTTTATATTCTGTTGTGTTTTATCCGGTGCTTGAGTGGTTTTAAATAGACGCATCCAATTGCTCGAAGACCCATAGAGTGAAGAAATATGATTAAAAAGTCAATCGGGAAAATCGCTTCGTCAGCGTGCGTCCGGTACGCACCCGCCTACGGTAAACCCCAAGGTACGCACACTTTGAAACCAATATATTTCAAGGAAGGACAGCTCTAGTGCTTGAGGGTTTATCGCGCAATACATCCATCTTCGTACAATGCGACCTTGTATATGAACACTTTACGTGAAGGTAGATCCTATCACGGTCTATCTACATGTGAGGTCCATTTTCATGTGAGGTTTCTAATTGGGTTGTTGCTTTGGATCGACCCTGGGTCCATGACGAGAGAATGCCTCTGATTGTAAGCCAGCCCTTCCCCGTTGTGTATATCATTTTTATCGCCAGGAGTTTATTATTTTTAGAATACTTGAGTCTTGGGTTGAGTTGGTGATGATAGAGTTTCTATCAGTACTTCAAATTCGTCTTGACAACATCGGTAGCATCACTGGAAGCAGTGGCTGATGTAGCTTAGATGGCGGCCTCGGCCGGACACTCTCGGGATCTCGAGCTAAGTCGCGTGGTATCCGATCGCGCTGGTGGTTGATGAGCTTCGGAATGAAGACGTTAACGTGGAAGTTAACGCGATGAAGTTCAC